TTTTTTTTTGGCAAGGAAAAAACTACTCCATGTCGGTTAGTTGACTTTTAATTATTTGTTACCAAACACGCGAAGTGTATAGAAACCTAAAACTTATATATACAAGCAAAGCTACCAGTCTAAATCAATCTACATCATTTTAAACAGATGTCGAAATATTATGTCAAAAAACTATCTTGTCCCAACTAACGTAATTGTCTCTCTCGACCCGTGCCCGCTTTCGTCCATATTTTGACGTCGGTAATGTTTCCGCACAGGGCTCTGGTATAAAATTAGTGTCCGGCGACGATTCGTTACTTGAGCTACTCGGGCTTAAACCGACAACTCGGTCTACTACATCACTTTGCGAGTCAGTTTCCACCTCGGAAAGTGACGAGGTCACTTGTTGCTGTACATTTCTGAGTGGGGGCTTCTGGGGTTGGTGACGCCCCATTAAATTGTACAGCAAGCTACCAATGTGCGCTTTTATCATTGCGACTTTTTCAGCTTTCTTCCCGTTGAAGTTGATCTTGTGATGGGAAAAGTACAAGGATATTTCGTCTACCCTCAAGGACGACAGCTTATCGGATTTGTACAGTCCAACCCGGTCAATGTCATTGTACTCCCGGCTCAGCCGTTTCATTCGCTCCCTTTCAGTCTCCTCTTTCTTCTCCTTGCGCATTTTTATCTGGGCAATGTGCTCAACATACTCTACTACAAGCTTTTCGGGGACAATGTATTATCTGAAAACCTTCTAATAGCCTCACTGTCCCCACTGACTAGTTCACTTTCCTCAAACAATCGCTTAATCTGAGCTCGAGGCTGGAAGTCATCCGGCTCACCGCGATCGGTGGGGGTTGCACTCCAAGAGAGGTGATAGAAGTTTGGTAGCTTGCCATAGTAGGGATACGGTCGTCGAGTTGGAAGTGGAGCGCTGGTAGTCTCATCCTTCTCGCAAAATTTGCATAGTTTGCCACTTCTCTCTTTACACGACATTCGCCTCTACTCCGTATAAAGCTCACCTTTCTCACAATGGAGGCTCTCCAATTGTTCTAGCTTGGAAAAATACCCATGTCCCGGAACGAACAGAACTCTTTTGATTGTTGGTGACTCCAAGATACTCTTTCAAGTGCTTACAGTTGTGGAAAAATTGATTTTCTGGTCGGTCGACCAAAAATGCTGAAATATACCCTCGTGGCGCTGGGGAGTCGTCAGTTCGAAGACACACTTCTTCAGCAACAGCCCACGCATTTTTTCCATGACTTTACTGCTATGCGCGTCTAGCTCTGATGTTGAAAGAGACTTGACTTCCTCTTCAGAAAGTCCATGTAAAGTCTCGTATTTCTGCCATTTAAGACTGCTTCCATCACAGAGAGCATCACCTTTTCATGCATTGAGCCGCTCTGCTTCATTCTTTCCCGAGTCTTCTCTTGCCCGGTGAATTCTCAAGAACTTTTCATTGCCATACACTCTTGCTCTCTTTAGAATTCGTATTCTGGACTCTGCACTGGACACGCCTACTCCTGGCCCAGCATCAGTTAGATCTCGTAAGCGTGGATACACGGGTGGCAGTCTGAGGCAGGCGATTCTTCTCAAGACTTCATCACACTGTTCGAGTACGGGATTCAGTACCCTCTGCAACTGTGAAAATTGACGCCACTTTGTCTCGAGCCTTCTCCAACAGCTCCATGGTTTTGCCGACAGTCGTTTTGACTATTTTCAAACTCTCCAGAAATTCTGCATTCATATCATGACTAACTTGTGGCCAGACTTTATATGCCGTCCGTTTGAATTTGTTACGAGTTCGAATGTTTTGAGGAAAGTTTGTTCGGCACTAAACTGAACGCAGGGTTGTCGGAACAACAACAAGAAGATTTATTCGAAAATGAACGTAATTTCCACAAGTTAAACTCTAAGCAACTCGTACTCGACAAACTTACACGGCCTCCGCCAACTTGAATAAATACAGCTCTTGTCACGCTTGACTAAACACGGCTAACTCCAACTCTGTTCGCTTGTGAAAGATTAGTTAAAAACTTCGCTAGGACTCGTCTACTTATATACTCTTACAATAGGCTTCTAGAATTCTCTAAATTAGTAATAGTTCTAATTATAGAAGGATTACAAAATACACCGATTTAGAAACGCTCACGTACGAACCTAAAAATAAACAAACAACGAACTCTCGCGAAGCCTCTAGAATGTAGCGCTAGTCACGCAATACTATTTTTCGTAACATAACCCCCTTCTAGAAGAAATTTCCTAAATTTATCCTAAGTAAGAAAAATTGCGAAATAAGGTGCAGTTCAATGTTAGCAAACTTAATCCTCTACACGACTCAAGTAATCTGCTCCAACGTTCTCTGAGCCTTTAATGG